GCAGTTGAAAAATTGGATCATTCACGTTTGCCTGAAGGCTTGAAGGGAATTGGTCAAGGTTTAGGCCCTAATGGAGAGCCTTTAAGAGATGTTGCATACATTTGCCAAATAATAGCAGTAATAACACTACATCAAATTCTGCACCTCCTCCAGTTGCTAACAACCCAATTGGCAATTCTATTCCGCAAGGGCTTAATCTTGCAGCATTAAGTAATGTTGTTGGGGGAAATCTTGCTGGTCTAGGGACTATTCAAAGCCTTGCGGGAAGTTTAGGTGCACTATCAAACCCCCTACTGTCTTTAGGTGGAGGAGATTTAGGTAATTTAGGTATTAATAATTCCAACTTGAATGCTTTGAATACAACAGCAGGGGCTATGAATGTGTCTAATAACATGGCAAGTGGAAATCTTGCTGAACTTAACAGTTTGTCCTCCACACAAAACACTCAACAAATGTCTTCATATAATAGAGACAATGCATACAACCAGAACTCATCCCTGAATAATGCAGGATACTTGAGTACAAGTTATCCCATTAGGGATTCTTACAATTCAAATCAGCTGGATTCATATGGAACTACAGACTTATACAAGAATTCTAATAAAATGAGTGGACAGGATGGAGGAAACAGATCTAGCAGCAATATACTTTCTGTCACAGATACCCTTATGATAAGCAATGTAAGTAAAAAGTGTATATTTATATTTTACAGTTACTAAACTATTTTTAACATTTCAGTTGCCAGCTAATTGCACATGGCAAGATCTACGTGCAAAATTCAGGGATCTCATGGAATTGAGAATGTAGAGATGCGTGGAAAAGATTCAGGACTCATCAGGTTACAAACGAAGCCCAAGCCGCAAGAGCTTACAGTATCCTTTTAGTAAACCATAAGATACCAGATACACAAAAATGTTAGATTTAGTAAAAGCTTTCCTTAAACTTACATAATTCAGAATCAATGACGGAACAAGATTTGTGGGGAAAATCTGCACATATCCTATTATTAAGCTAAGTAAAAAAAAATTTTTATTCTAGAATATGTTCTTTTTAATGTAACCAATGAAATATTTGTATGTAACCAATAAATACTTCATATGTAAGTCTTTTATGTAGATTTTTTTGGTGGAATATATGCACAAATAAATTAGGTTTGAACTATTTTTTTGTGGCATATGCAGTTGATTAAAAACTTGAATTGTATACAGAAATCTAATCTTATTATGGTTAAATAACATGCATTAATTTACTTTAATTTTTAATAAATAATTAACTGCAGCATTGCATTCCACAAAACACCCATCACAATATACAATAAAAGGAATAGAATTCGAATATAAATTAGAAGAATAGAATAGAAATTCTTTAGTAAAATACCTTTCTTAACTTACAACATTTTGTGGAAAAAATCTGCACGTAGCTATTATTAAAAAATTTCTTATAGAATGTTTTGTTTTTTTTTAATAGATTTACAGTGTAACATTGTACTTTATTTTAGAATGTCAGCTAATAAATATTTAATATGTAAGTTTGTTTATGAACCTTAAATTGTTTGGTTTGTCAAATATATGCATAAATTTAATTATGTTTGAACTAATTTGATATATATATGTCAAGTGTAGTTGGCATCTAAACTTTAATTGTATGCAGAATTTTTTTTTGAAACTTTACTATGGTTCAATAACATGCATTAATTTACTTTTATTCCTAGTGCAAAGAAATCAATAATTAATTACCTGCAGCACTGCATTTTGCAAAACACTCATAGCATTATTTGTTTAGAACCATGTAATTATAATTTGGCCTTTTACCCACAATTATTATATTACAACGCTGGCCTGAAATTGAATGTAAAAACAAAATTTGAAATTATAACATTTATAATGGTTTTTTATACATAATTACACTATATTTATGTCTATGTCAACTTGTCTTATATTGAAGTTTGTTTTGACACATCAAATTGATTTCAAATTTAATGATAATTATATTTATTTCATCATTCTAAGAATAAAGACAAGCCCATGCATCACATTATTAAACAGGTGCTTTTTGTACAAGCTTAAACCAATGGCCACATTCACATCTTCTTGGGGAATTCTGAAATAAAATATAATTGATGCAATAAGTCTTATTTACTTAAAGAAAGAATTACTTAAGTTTAGCAGTATTTACCTGGTGCAACCACATCCATTTCACTGCTGTGGCGTCTTCTTCACCTGGAAAGAAAACAAAATTTAGATTAAAAACTGCGTAATAGTTATTAGTAATTTAAATTTTAAAAAATACATGTTAAAATTGCAATTGCACTGATAACTAAAGAAAACATGTTAGGTTATAAGTAATTTTAAACAAAGAACTGATAGAAAATTTAATTTTCTAAACAAAATGATTATTATTATTGATTAAGAATATAAAAATACTGAAATTTACAGTGCTAGTAAACAACTTGATGTATTCTAGACATTCTAGCCAAGACTTACATATGCATCCCACAATGCGAGACTCGAAAGCTGATGGGATTAAATTAGGTTCTTGTTGTGTCCCAGCATTTCTTTTGATTACTTTCATATCGAAGGGATCGTCATTGCCTGCAGCAATAGCTTGGAGTTCCCTTTTCTCAATACCCGTTGCATGTTCCATGATGTCAGGCATCACTAAAAAGATAATTGTTGAAATTTTCATAATTTATCATGAAATTGAATCGCCATGTTGTCAATTTAAGATCAACATGTCTAGATTTTGTATGAAGCAATAAACTTAAGACCAATATTTAGGTTCTACAGTTGTTTAAATAAATGAATATCATAGTATTCATAAGTATTTTATGTTATATACTAAATAATGAAGTAACAATATTACGTAACACAAATTTCTGAAAACTACAGATTTTTTTACTTGGCACTCGGGTCCAAAAATTAATACTTACTTTTACAGTATCTGGCCACAGACATTCCGACATTGCGGTTAATTGTATTTAAAGCGATTTTTCCACACAACGAAGCCATTTTGACGGCACACCAAAGTGTTATTTTACGACTTTTATTTCTTTGCCAAGAATAAATCGATCAGTAGCTCCAACCTTAGCAAATAAATGTCAGATGTTACGATTGTTTTAATGGTACTCCTGCAACTTGATCGCGGGATTTATGAAAATTTTATATAGATATAAATATATATTATACAGGTTAATATGGCCTAGATGTCGTAGTTCTTATGAAAATTGGATATATAAATAAATATATTGATTTTTCCATCATATATATGGCCTAGCTGCCTTAGTTTGTATGGGAAATGGATATATAAATGTATATATTGATTTATACCTGATTATATATGGCTTAGCTGCCTTAGTTTGTATGGGAAATGAATATATACATGTATATTAATTTATACATGATTATATTTGATCGGCTGGCGAAGTAGTTTGTATGGGCAATGGATAGATAAATGTATATATGGATATTTCTCCTAAGCCGGAGAAAATAGCCTTATATAGCGTATAAAGGATCCAATAAGATTTCTAGATTCATAGAAGCGATTGAATGCAGCGGCCTCTATGCAAAATAGTTCCCAATTCGTGAGGAACTACTGTCAAGTTGAATCAAGGGTAGGAAGAGCCGACATCGAAAAGAAACAAAAAGCTATACACGATTTATATATGTTTTTTCCATCATATATATATACTAGCTACTGCCTAGTTTGCATGGGAATTGGATATATACATGTATATATTGATTTATACATGATTATATATGGCGTAGCTTATATGGAAAATAGATATATAAATGTATATATTGATTTATACATAATTATATATGGCCTAGCTGCTTTAGTTTGTGTGGGAAATGGATATATAAATGTATATATCAATTTATACATGATTATATATGGCCTAGCTGCCTTAGTTTGTATGGGAAATGGATATATAAATGTATATATGATTTATACATGATTATATATGGCCTAGCTGCTTTAGTTTGTATGGAAATGGATATATAAATGTATATATTGATTTATACATGATTATATATGGCCTAGCTGCTTTAGTCTGTATGGGAAATGTATATATAAATGTATATATTGATATTCCTTCAGAACCGGGACCATAATTATATATCTAAGGGCGTATAAAGCGATATATGAATGTATATATTGATATTCCTTCAAAACCGGGACCATAATTATATATCTAGTAGCGTATAAAGCGATATATAAATGTATATATTGATATTTCTCTAAAGCCGGGACCATAATTATACATCTAAGGGCGTATAAAGCGACATATGAATGTATATATTGATATTCCTTCAAAACCGGGACGATACTTATATATCTAAGGGCGTATAAAGCGATATATAAATGTATATATTGATATTTCTCCTAAGCCGGGACCATAATTATATATAATAGGGTAAAAAGGAATCCAATAAGATCCCTAAGTTTCTACTGCGATTGCATGCAGCGCCTCTATGCAAAATTGTTCCCAGTTTTTGAGGAACTAACATTTGACAGTTCTTGCGTAAAAAGGAATCCAATAAGATTCCCGTGATTCTAAGGCGAATGCATGCAGCGCCTCTATGCAAAATTGTTCCCAGTTCTCATGGAACTACGTAGTGACTACCGGGTTCATATGGTTCTGTGTTAGATGGCGCCACCGACCCGTACGTCAAACGTTTCATAAGAGAATATGAATTCAAATCTATTATGGCGGGCTGTTTGAAAATCGAAAATACAAAGGTGTATATTTATTTATATACCCGTAGCTGCGGTTTTGTCTTCATAGTTAGTATGTAAATTGAATATATAAATCTATATGTTGATTATCATAATTGAGTGATATCAGATCAACTTGTATGAAATAGTAAATACACATACTAATATGTGTTTCCATAGTGATAATTTTTATTTGTTTGTTTCTTTTATCTGATTAAAAAATCTCCCCAAAAACATATTTTATCAACACACTTTATATAATTTTATAAATACTTAATTCGAAAATGAGTCAAAACTTTATTGAAAGTGTTGGTTCCAAAAATATTCTGCCTCATAAATCTGAAAGTAAAGCCGATTGTATAAGAAGACTTACTCACTTGTATCTAAATGATAAAAATATAAGAATTATTGTAAGTGTAAATCATATTTATTTTAATTTAAATTTAATTCTGATAATAAAATAAATATATATATTATTTTAAAGGGGAGACATATCGGTTTGCATGAATTTATCAGTGTTATATCTTCAAAATAATTTAATTTTAAAATTGATAATCTTGGCGGAGCACCGACAATAAAACAATTATATTTACAAGGTTTTATAAAAATTAATTATGATAATATTGTATACTTTTACTCTTTAATTGACATGCATTATATTGTAATACAGGTAATCTTATAACTAAATTAGAAAACTTAGAATCATTGATTCATTTGGAAAAACTATATATAGGACATAATAAAATAAGTGTCTTAGAAGGTTTAGAACATAATCTATTGCTTAAGGAACTGCATATTCAAAGACAAATATTGAATCCAGGTAGCTCAATGTGCTTTGATCCACGAACCATGTACTGCCTTAATGTGAGCCATTTATGTTTTAATAAACTATGCTACTCTATACTCTAAATTATAAAAAATATCATTTACCTCTAAGAATCTTCGGCTGATAGATGTCTCAGGAACAGGTATAAATTCAATATTGCCCTTGAAACCATTTGCAAAAGTTGGAAGTTCTTCGAGCAAATGATAATTTCTTTCCAAGTGCTGATGATTTTGTTGAATGCTTGCAATCTTGGTTATATTTAAAAGAGGCTGAATTTAAGAGATGCCCAGCCACAAAACTTAGGCGATATAAAGATACCATAATTGGCAATTCACATAGATTAGGTACTAATTGATTTATTCTGCATTTCATTAATAATTTGACTTTCACTTAATTACTTTTAACTTTGATACATTCTCATATTATTCACCCTTTTCTGACAGAAATGCTCGATGGCAAGCCAGTTTCTCAAATATCCAGGGTGAGCTTAAACAAACTTTTGGAAAACCAAGCAAAGGCCAAAATTAGAGCCAAACAACAGTCACATGAAAAATACCAAGATTTAAGAAAATCCCTCTGTGAAGATAATATTGAAACCTATATTAATATGAATGCAGAAGATTTCAATGAGTTGCCAAATAATTCTTCATATATATCTTGGAACAGCTGTAAGTCCATTAAATACCTCTTAATATTATGTTAAAACTCTGTATTATTTAGTCTATTTATCACCATTAGTGCCAAGTAATGAATTGCCAGGATTTTTACGCCAACAGTTAAGAGGCAGTGCAAGGACTATCGCTCCAAAATTTAATAAATATTAACACTATGCTCTTACTAACATTTTTGTAAATTTAAATTCTATGACATAAAAATACAAATGAAATCAATAGTGTTATTATTAAACATTCAATCAAATTAAAATGTTTTATTATTAAGCTTTAAATAAATGTTTTTTACATACATGTGTGCATATATGCATTCATCATATATATATATATATATATATATATATATATATATATATATATATATATATATATATATATATATATATATGCAAATATGATCTTATCTAAAATCTTATTATAGACATTGTATATTAAGCTTTTTTTCTCATATGTCTGCTCTCGAATATTCATTTATTGAACAAACTCTATTTCCATAGAATAAATAATGTTTTCTTCTCGGGTAACATATATTTGTATTTTTCTTTGATGACTTATTAGATTTATTTACAATCTTTACAATAAATATCTTTCTTTTTAAAAATGTATCATTAATTTGATCGAATTGAATTCGTTTAGTAAAGTAAAGCAACTCTGTGTTTTCAAATGTGGAATGTTTGTTCAATGTATTTTATTCTTTTTAATTTAAATATGTGAAAAATTTTGCTAAATATTTTGGAGAGTAGATGAGTGTACTGAATTATATTTCAGTACTAAATAAGTTACAAATTAGATATCTAGCACAACGAAAGCCATCAAGGAAATATATAATAGCAAAATTTAATGCATATATTTAAATTATACATATTTTGAAAGGCAGTGGTTTTAATTTAAGATATTATCTAAAATTGTTTGCTTATTTACTTTAAAAATATAAATAAAATACTTATTATCATACAAAAATGTTTCTTTGCAAAACGTAAAAAAGTTTGCAGCATATTTTTAATAGCTGATTGAATAAACCATCAAGTTTAAATATAAATAATTAGTATGTTTTTAAATATATCTTAACTTTCATCATTTCACTGGATCAAACATTTTTAAAAATATTCTCTTATTATATATAATCTGGAATACTAATTTTATAATCTTTATATAAAATATTTATAATTAAAAAATATAACAAAAGAGATCCCTAACACTAGTGAAAAATAAAATATATTAATATATAAGTGATCAAATATTTATAATTTCAAATAAAAATAATGTTGTATGTATATTTTACTTATTTATAAATGAACAGGTCATAAAATGACAAGCATGAATAGACAATGAAATATATTTTGAAGAATAAGATAAAAATCTTATATTAGTATTCGATTGTATGTATATTTATAACAAAATATACATTTAAATTATTTGTGACTAAATTAAAATTTTCTTGTTTCATATTTAAAATCTTGTTAAATATTTAAATTCACGTGCAACCTGCAAAAAAAATATTTACAGGTATAGATTTTTGTCTCGGTATAGCATTTAATCTCAATTGTGAAAATAATCATTTGGGAGAAAATTAATTAATCAGTGATTAATTGATTTTGATCACTTATTTGTTTTGTGTTTCTTTGTCAAAATCTCCTTTGATTGAAAGCAGTGATTGTAGAAGAAGTAAGTATTTAGGTACTAAAAAAGACTTACTAATTTTTACTTACTAATAATTCCTCTCTATTGGGGTGCCGCCTGTTGTTGTATTTCAATTTTTTCAACAGTCATGTCTGGATTCATAGCAGTTGCTTCCTGAATTGCTTCAGCCAAGGCTCTGTCGTGGTCGATTGGATCACCATCACTCTGTATCGTTATTGTTTGTTCCACTCTGGTTTCTACTACTCCGTCCTTTTCAGTTTTATACTATATAGAAAGATTAGATTAAAATAAAGGTAACAAATAGAAAATAAGAATTCGATTATGCTCTTTTTCCATCTTGGCAAATAATTTAAAGGTAATTTTAGTTCTTTTACCGTGACTGTTTCGACGGTCCTCGTTTTGGAACTGATGGTTTGGGATGATACAATTCTCCGGTGACAATGTAACCTTCACCATCTTCTCCTAGGACACTCTGCGAGAGATTCTGTAGAAACTATTGGCACACCTCCTATAACTCCTGAGTTCTCGATGGATCAATGTCTTGGGTACCAGATACATTAGATTTCACAAGAGAACCGTCCTGTGGAGTTAAACATATATATCAAATAAAAAATAATAAGTTCTAGGTTGGTTTACTTAATGATTTAGCCAGTGCTAAATACAATTGAGAGCATAATCTCAAATATGTCGGAAAAATCATGCAAGCTTAAAAAATGATATGAGCTTTCCAACTTGCATACAACAATGTCCATGCTAAAAGGGAGCTTCAACTCTTACCTGATCATGTTACACAAAGTATAAATTATAAAATTAAAAATATAACTAGTAATATGATAACAATAGTAAAACCAATATATTCCTCAAAGGCTAATCATATTTTATCAATAATAATTTTCTTAATTACCTGTGGTAATGAGGAATCAAAATCAATAGGTGTACCAGAGTCACCACTGCTGGACGATGTAATGCTTCCTCTTCGATTGAACTGCGTTTTGTGTTTTTTGTATTACACACAAATAGCACATGCAGATCAAACCAGAAATGCACACATAAAAACATGCAAACAAAAAATAGGAAATGATAAATTAAATGAAAAAAAAAATTAAACTTTATCTGAACAAAAGTTATAAAATGTTTACCTTGGGTAAATGATCCCCATGATAAGAATTAATGATATTAGGTGATAATAATTAGAAAATTATGTTGTAAACGTTAAATTCCATTGTTATGATCATGTTATGTATAAAAGTTGATAATAATAGGTATTTTATCTATACTGAATACTTCATTCATTAAGGTGACCATACCCGTGTTTTTCCAAAAGCAATATTTGTCCCGGATTTAGATCTTTTGTCCAGGATTGTCACGGTTTTTTGAAAATTAATAGGTAAATCAACAAAAATTATGAAGATAAACCAAAATGGGCTAATTTTGTCAAAATAATTATGAAGAAAATTGAATAGAATTTTATACAAGGCTCAAAAGCGATAAAACATATAGATCGAAAAATATAAGATATAATATAATATATTAGATGAAAAAGTATTAAATATAATCAAACTAGTGGGGCGCATGACATCGTGCCTTAAGGCAAATTGCTGGAACTTCCCGTACCAAAAATTATTTTTTTTTAACATTTTTGAAACAAATTTATTCTGAAAAATTAGATTTTTGATAAACTATAAATTTTTGACAAAAATTTACTTTTTTTGAAAAAAAGAATTTTTGAAGAAAAGTGTTTTTTGAAATATTTTGGGAATTTTGAACTTTTTTGAAAGCAATCGTATTGCTTAAACTGCATAGAGACAAAATATCGAAGCGCGTAAGCGCCGCGCCGCCGTCTAACGGATAAGCATTGGTACGGAACC